TGGTTATTCTGTCGTTTTTAAACTGTAAAATCTAATGTACTTCTACCGTTTCGTAAACTCCTAGATCTAGATCTAGATCTAGATCTAAATCTACATCATCATGTCACTGAACATGTTCAACTCACTACCGCTTTCCGTTCATTAAAATCTTTTTCCCAACTCACTATATTCAAAATGTGAACAAAAACCAGTCAAAATAAATACCAAACAGTTTATATGATAAAAAAAAAAACGAAGGCAAAACTGCCATTATGAAACTCACAGTAGATTTAGGCATCTATTTCAGCGAGTTGAACAGTGCGCTCTTTTTTCCTGTTGTTTGTTTACGCTTTAAACGCGCATCTAGCTGGTTACCAAGGGGAGCCAGTTGGAACGAAAATGAGGCTGTTGTCTCGTCTTGTCTTAGTCCGTCTTGGATTATATTTAAGAGTCTCTGGAGCAACATTATTTACGGTGTTAACTATTCTATGTGCCTTTTAGGGTAAGGTTTCTTTTTATTGGTAGCGGCTGTAAGATACATGTATATACAATAATTCGGATTCTCCTTATTGTTGGTTAATTTATCGCTTGTTCGTTACTTTCATTTACCAATTCAGCTGTAGATTGAGTTTTCCTCTCTATTGTTTAGATTGCAAAGACCTTTAGGGTTGAACAACTGAAATGAAAAGTAAAGGTTTTGTTCTTTTGTATTTTATTTTTTTTATAATGGGAAGATAGATTATATTTTTTTAAAATCAAGATTCTAGGGGTAGATCTATCTTTACTTAGATCTAATCTGTCTAGATCTAGATCAGATCTAAATTCTGGATCTAGACCTAGCCTTAAATTTCTAGATCTATTGGTTATGGAACGTGGACAACGTCTTAAGCGAGCTGGAAAAACACTAGGTGTGGCCTTATCAACCTAACATGCAAAGAATCGGCAAAAATGAAATGGCTTATAGGTCCCCACATCGTCGCTCAGTATACGGATGCTTTGAGAACTTTAACCGGAATTACTAGGTTACTGGCCTTATCGCGGCGGAATCGTTATCACTGACAGGAGGGCAAAGGCGAGTCGCTGGCGCTTCAAAACCAGCTGCTTCTGGTAGACGGAGGTAGACAGCCTGGGATGTCAGTTCGTCTAGGGGAAGGAAAACCCTGATTTAAAACCTCCGCGGCCTTGCGGCCATACTCCAACTCCTAAATATAGTAATAAACAAACCCTTTTAATCCCCCCGCCCCACAAAAAAACGCATATAATCCAACAGCAAACAATTAATAAGGCCTATATTATTACATAGTTAATACAGACCAATAACTGCACCTTCGATGATTTTATATCATTCCTATTTCAAGCAAATACAAATCGAGAAAAAGGAGAAAACACACACACACACACACACACACACACACACACACACACACACACACACATATAATATATACAAACACACACACACACACACACACGCGCGCGCGCGCGCGCGCGCGCGAGACGGCTGTGCCCAGAGGCGAAGCGTCTATATAATCAAATAATCACTGCTTCCCTTCCTTATTTTGAAACATTGTCGCAGTCAAATTCACCCATAGACGTAAACCTCATAAATTAAATGTAAAAAGACGTTCATAATCACCAATGAACAATAGACTATGCCTAACCTTCAAAACCGTTTCATTGCCACAGAAATAGCCTGTTCGCCCCTATCGGG